GGTATGTAGCTTTATGTTTGATTTTGACCATTTAAGTATTTTTCCAGGTAGAAAATACTACTCCAGAAGCCTATGCATAACCTGTAATTTAGGAGAGTTATAAATGGCTGTTGCAGAATCAAAATAAATATTCATACATCATTTGTTTGACACCATACGGGTACAGTTTTTCTGCACTGTTTCACTGTGTCTGGGTACCTCCCAGTTAGAAATTGAGTTGTGCTTTAAGCAGTAGTAAGACAAAAGCTAGGTCACAGTAAATAACATTATAGCTTTCAGTCTTAAACCTCATTTTCATGGCTTTAAGAAGTTAAAATCGGGATCATTAGGATAATTATTTGTAAAGTAATTTTTTTTTAATAAAAATAATAGACTTTATATATGTATGATACATAATCCCTGCCAAGTCTTCTCTGAAGTGGTTTTTCATATACACTATAGAATTGATGTTATTAGACCGAAATACATAAAGGTGATATTTCTCCAATTCGAAACAATTGTAACAATTTTTGTCCAAGAGAAAACAATCCCAAGGAGATTTCAGCAGTGGAGTTGTAAGACCAACACATATTTCATTCATTCAGAAATCTATGGTATTATTTGGGAATTACATATTCATTTGAATTACACAAAATGAAAATTGAATTCAGATTGAATTATGCAAAACGAAGTCTGCAACAGGGATTGCAACTAGACAAACTTTGTCTTACTGGGTGGCAGATTCTATAACACAGTTCCAGCATAGTTTGGCTCTGCATAAATAAGCAAGTCCTAGCCATGTTGTACAGTAGTTGGCAGACAAGCTTATTATAATACCTTTTATCAATGTAGTAAGTTCTGCAAAATGAACAGGACAATCTCAGAGAATGTAGGGGAAAACTTTTATGAAATTACGTTTAGGACAATAGCTGATAATTGTCTTATGTACAGAAAGTTCCTCTGAAATGTTTTTGCTTCTATGATTTTTTTTTTTCTGTTGTGTATCCAGATATTCTTTCAATATCTCTTTTTTTTTTTTTTTTTTAAAGCCCCTCTGGATATTTTTGTTAATTATGGAGTCAAATATATTCTTTAATAACACAACTGTGTATGCATTTGTCTAGAAACAAACCAGAAGGCTTCCTTTACTCCTCCAAAGGGCTTGTTGTTTCCAATTTTTTTCTCTGTTTTCATGTTACAGTTTTTTAGGAAGTGATTTAGCATCACTGCCTAAGGGTTATGTGTTCCATGTAAAGCATTGCTAGAACATGTTTTGATCTGACAGTAGGTTCAGGTGTAGATAACTGGGTCTCGCTAAGTGCAGTTTGCTGCTTTATTTTCAATTATACTGGAAGTACAGAAATCAGTGTGTACTTTCAAGACATGGTGATCATGAAATGATTGCTTTTAAGTTTCTCATCAGAAGGACCTTCTGGGACTTCTGTGTGGCACAGAGTAGATGAAAGCTGTCCTCCCCCCACCCCAACTCCTATTTTCTGTTTTCTTAAATGAAAAGCTCTGTTCTTGGAAGACGGTACAGTCCACTTGGATAAATAAAGCATCCACAAGAAATTATTTTGTAGACCACTAAAGCAAAAATTTAAGCTGGGGGCTTAAGGGCTGAAGATATTTTAAGTACCCTGGCTCTCTCCTGGCTTTTTTTTTTTTTTCCTTCCAATTTCTATAATCTCATCAGTATTAATAGTTGTTATTCCTTTGTAGGTTTTTTTAATGTTTCTTATTTTAATCCTATAGAGGTTTTTTTCCTAATTAGGTTTTTAGACTCATAGCAAAATAAGGTTAAAAATAAGGCAAAATGAGGCTTCTTCACTTTATTGAATTTGTAGCGACTTGGGGTAGTATCCATCTCGCCTTCTTTTAGAGCTATGATTATAAATGACTGTAGTTGAGGTGCTAATCCTGAACTTTTCCTATTATTCAATGGGGAAAATCTGGTACTTTAACAGTAATTCAACTGCTCGACTTCAGCTGTTTACTTTAGTATTAGATGAATCATGCCTTAGGACTCCTGTGGCTTCATCTGCATTAACTATGAGAGAACCTGAAGTGGAAGGACTAGCTCAAATAGAGAACATCTACACTGTAGGTATTTAATGAAATGCAGTCTCATTCAAGGAACTAAACATATGACTAAGTAGCTAATTACTGTTTAAATCTGCTGGCCTTTAATGAGACAGACATATTATAAAATTGGACCTCTTTTTCTATTTAGAGCAATCATTTGACGTATAATATAAAACCTCTAATATCTGTGATTCCAGTTGAGAAGGTAATTTTCCATACAGCGCATATACTTCAATTGCAATTTGGTAATATTTTATATATTGTCCTGCATTCAAGAAGTGTTAGATATCAGACATTGTAGTAAGGTACAATGGACCCCTTAGATTGTCAGTCATTTCACTTCAGGGCCTAAAGTGGATGAAAGAAAGATTCACTGCATTTTCATTTTCCATCCTCTTGAACATTAGAGAATTAGAGGATTCATTTTTGCCTTTGTGATCTTTAAATATTTTCAACTCCACAACTGGGAAGTTATTTTCCATATCATGTGAAGAGTTGTTTGCATATTATATTTGAGTCAATACGTGTAAGGCAGTTTTTAAAAAATTTCACAGGAAAAAAAAATTCATTAAGATGGGATTATGTTTAGAATATGTTAGTCTTGTAATGGTAGAGTTAGTTTTTTAATGAGTATTTGCTGTGATTTAATGCAAATGAAACAGCTTGGAAATTATTTGTAAGCTTGTCGATAAGGCTAGTTACTCCATTATCCACGCTTATTTTACCAGCAACAGCAAAAGAAATGAACGTTGTACTCACTAAAAGTGAAGAGGCTGTACGATGGAAAATTGAAAGTGCTTCTCAGAATCACTCTGCAAAAGGACTGAGTCTGGATGTTCAAATTGACCTTACTTCTTTAATTTATAGGGTCTTTATTTGAGGGTAATATTAACTAAGACTTCCCTGGTTTTCTGATTTTTATGTTTAATAAGACGTCATGTACAATTTTCATATAAGTGTGTTTGGAGGGGAAGGGATGAAGTGGTAAGTCTTTAAACTTTACTATTGACAGGGTTTGCAGAATTATTTCAGGTTTGCTACTATTCAGTAGTAGGAGTTGCCATGGACATTGCAAGCTATGCATCACTCAATGCTATTTGTTACCGAACAGATTTCTGTTTGCTGGTGTGGCCTTCTCCCTCTTTTCTCCATAATACAAGTTGTCTTCTCCTTTATCTTTAGTAGCAGACTGATAATGACTGCCCCGTAGGATGTGTCTAGATCCATTTTTGCTAACTGTGTCTGAGGCCACTGTTTGCAACGATTTTAGTCAGACTTCTGCTTTTATAATATGCATATATGAACACCCCGTTATATATGTTTTAGCTACAGAAGTACATATTTATAGAGTGTCTTAGAAAACTTTCTTTCATGTCATAACTCCAGAGCTAAATCTACTATCCCTGTGAAAAATGTAAAGGTGCGCACATAGTCCTGTAACATGCTTGTCCACTCACTTGCAAAATCCATGCTCCGTAACTGAAGGGAATAAAATGTTTATGCAACACGTAGTTGTAGAATGTGGTCAGTCAGCAACCTAATAGATACCTGAAATGCAACTTAGTGCACCTCTAATTGTTGTCACACATTTTCTTCCCTATCCAGGAAATGGCACTTTTTCTTCTTGTACTATTTGGTGATCAATTTTTTTTTTTTCCCCTCCATGCTTTTTTCTTTTCTTTTCTCTCAAGTTTTTATAGAGAGACTCTATTATGCTTTGTTCTCTAGTTTAGCTTGCAGGTTGTTTCCGTCTTGTAAAATTGTAGATTTTAAAGGGATTTAGGAAACAACGTAGTTGATATTTATGATACAGACATCACTTTCCAAAATTGTCTGAGATCATCCACATTTTCCAGGAAAAATTTTTGTTGCAGAAGATGAAATTTCTGATTAAGTTTTGGTGAAGACCTTTATATTCTGTAAGGAATATAAAACTAAAAATGTCATTCTTTGTTGGGCAGAAAGCCATTTAAATTTTAACTGGGGAAAAGCTGAGAGACTGGTTAGTTGTCGACTGCCAACAGCCTCGCTGACATTTCTCTGTTCGAAAAACTGGCTGTATTTCAATTAGAGGCAGCCTGTTAATACAGCCCAAGAAGTTTGTAATGATGGGATTTAGGTTCTTTTCATTTAGTAGCACATTTATGTCATGAACTTCAGTGCCTAGTACCGTGTTCTTTAAAGGAAAGTATTTTCAGTAAAACTTCAGTAAAGCTCTTGTAGTTAGAGAAATAAGCAAGCTTAAAGCGGTTTCAGTAGAACAAAGATAACGTGTGAGAAAGTTTTGGCAATTTCCATAGGGACAAAAACTAAATCCATTGTGAAAAAGATTTTTCTAATAACTCAGTTGGATACAATAGCTTGCCAGATTTCAGAGCTGTCTCCAGCCTTCAAGGGGTAGTCTCTAGACCTCATGTTTTAAAGCACGCTGAAAGTAAGAGTGACATCTCCTTTATGCCTCACGCAAGCAGAGAAATTTTACAGTTTCAAAGAAGAGGGAAATACACGGCAATTAAGAAGGATTTTTCTTTAATCTGATGAATTGAGGTGTTCTTGATATTTGATATGACTACTGAAAAGTATGTACAAATTTTTGTCTATTCACTTTGTACTTGTGAATCCTGATCTTCTGAGACTAGCAAGATAGAGTGAACTATGCTATTATTAAGTAATGTTAATGTGTTGGAAATCTCTATTAAAATGTACTGTTTAAATATTTCAGATGGAAATTGACACAGCACTAAGTGATCTGGAAGCAGCTGACTTTGCAGAGCTGGTAAACGTTTTTTGTTGTTGTTTACACTGCACAGTATCTCTTTGCCTTGGTGTCATATTCAGTAGTTTAAAAAAGCACTAATTCCAACTCATCCACTTTTTTTAATCAAGTGAGAGTCAAAGTAAAGGTATATTGCATTATTCTTGTTTTAAGATAGCTCAATTTCACCCATTCTGTTTATCCTGAATTTCTCTCCATGGTTAACATCATAACTGTATTATAATCCTAGCATTAGTCACTGAAAACCTATGATTTACTATAATTTAAGTCTGTGGGATGTCTACAAGGACATTCAAATTTCAATATAGCTGATTATTGTTACATTTCTTTTTTTGTATAGATAACCGTCTCCTTCCCAAGCAATTGTGAATAAACCTGAAACTTCTATGGAGCACTGAGAACTTAATTTTCCAGTTTACAGAAAGCAATTACAAGTCATACATATTTTTAATACTGTAAAAGGAGAACATAGTGATTTACTGAAGCATCACTTGCTGTGCATGCTCTTTACTGCGCTGTATAGGACAGCGAGGTGTAAACGTAGTGAAATTTCAGTTTTACTTTCTAATGAAAGAGCTTTCTTAAACTCATGTTCCAGAACAGTTATTTAAAAATTATTTTCTTTATAGGTATATTATAATTGAGCATAAAGATAACTTGTTTGATCACATATTTAGCATAACAATTTGGGACATACATACTCTTAATTACAAAAGATACTTAACGATTCTTAAAACCTAAAATACAAGGTAGGCAGACATATAGTCCATCTTGCAAGTGAATAAAAAAAAAGAGTCACTGTACTAAACAACCTGGATGATTATTTACAGAAAGCAATGTTTATAAGTTGTAGTTTATTGCACAGAAATTGATTGCACGCACTTCATTTAAAATACACTATATCCAACTAAAGATAGTGTTACTAATCTGAGAGCACTGGGTATCTAAATTAAAAGATCAATGAATGGGTATATTTTGGGTAAAATGTCAAATACTGGAAAAAAAATGCTTTGACTTGCAAGTTTTACTCTAGGAGGGCCTCTGGTGTCAATAGTTATGCTTCAGCTACTTTGCTGCTAAGATCTCTGAGAATTAGTATATCCTAATAAAAATAGTTTATGGACAGATAAGTATTGAATAGGAAATCTGTTATTTTGAGCTGAAAATTTTAGTGACACAAAAATCAATAAGGTATTGAAACTCGGTATTTTACTTAACTGTTCACTATTAACTGCTGTACTGATAATAAGAAGTGGTCCAAAATGAAAGTATTAAATAAGATACTGATTCCAATTGACTGGAATTAGTTGACTTGCATTGGGTAAATAAAACAAAAATTCTGAATTAAAAATTATACCATGCTTTTTTTTCTTCCCCACAGTCTGAAGATTATTACGATATGAGAAGATTATATATGATTATGGGCTCTTGTCTCTTCTACAAGGTATTATTAGTGATTAATGCCTAAAGATTAGGAAAATGCATCTGGAAATCTAACCCAGTCATGGAGTAACTCTTTTCTGAACCTCACAAATATGAAATAAATGTATGATTCCTTTAAACATACATTTCTAGTAACAGACCTAAAACTCAAAAACCATAACAGAAAAAACTGATGTCAGGAAGTGATATGTACTATTATGATCAGTAAGAACAAAATACTTGTTTGAAACTGTCTTATGGGAATTTTGTGGCGTGTGATCCAAGGATTGGAGAGAGAGTAATAAGAAAGTAATAAGAGTGAATTTAGGTGAGACTTTATGATATTCTCATAGGAATTTTTTTGTTCATTGCTATTTTTTAATAAAGATAACAGGTGATCTATCTTTCATCTGTCTTTAAATCAAAGACTTGAGAAATTGGATTGACAGCTTTTTTCCCTTTGACCTCATTTATTTATCTTTATTAAATGTAGACAGTGTATTCAACAGTATAAAGAGGAAGATAACAGTCTTTTCTTTGAGGAAACTTACATTTTAAGGATTTTGTCGTGCAGTTGCTCTTTATGGTGGTAGTGTTATGAGACTAAACTGTTAGCACAAATGGAACTGCACAGTATCTACTATGACAGCACTTTAACTGTAATGCCCTTAGTGCTAGAAACACTGTTTTGCTATGTATCTTCTTGAGAAATTTTATTAATTCCAGTGAAAGCTCAGTATTTTTGGAGAGAGACTTAAATGAGAATTAAAGCACCTTAACTCTGTAGCTGTTTTGCAAGCTGTTAAAGGCATGCATTTCCCAGCTCCGCTTTGATAACTTGCATATATGCTGATGTTTTATTTGTTTATATTTCAGTATCTTGATTCGTCAGATGTGGTGCAAAAGCTCAGTGTTATCTGTTGTACAACTGTATGCAAAAAGACAGTCTCTGGCCAGAAAGCTTACAATCTCAATGCATGTGGAGCAGGGATATCTCTATATGAAAAGTGCTCTTAAGTGATAAGTGGTGGTGTTGTATTTCTTACTGAATACACTTCCTTTTCTGTGTTTAATTAAGGGTTACTTGATTGGTAATCACTTGCCAAAGGAAGATCTTATTGATATAGGTTTATATTGTCGGCACTATTGTCTGTTACCCTTGGCAGCAGAACAGAAGATTGGTCAGTTAGTGATATGGCGGGAAGTATTTCCTCATCATCATATCCAGCCATGTGAAGTTTCAAGTTTTACAGGATACAGGGAACCTGAAGCAAGATACTTTTTACTGATAGTTGGCTTGGTAAGTTGACATTTGCTGTTTGCCCATTCGCTGGTGGTCTGTTTTGCTGTTGTGTGTTGTCTATTGTTCAGTAAGATCAACACTTTCCATGCATTTTATTTAGTAATTTTACAAAATATCCGTATTATAGCCGTTTCATGGGATAGCATTTTTCAGAGGGTAGCATTTTTCATACACTTGTAAGGCTTGCAAGTTTAAATATAAATTCTCATTATTTTTAGGCCTTTTCACTTCAGTTGAGAATGTTTTTACTTGCATGATCTTGTATTTTCAGACAACTCATTTCAGAAATGTGTTTGTTTTTTTTTAAATGTGGCCTTCTTTTAAAGCAAAAAACTAATGAGTTTGTAAATGATAGTTTTTACAGTAGTTTTTACGTTTGCATGATTAACTTAAATAACATGATAACAGAAAGATCTCCTTGGACATGATTTGATTAGGAAAAAAAAAAACCTCCTCTGGAGATGAGGAAGGAGTGTTGAATATAGTGCTGTATTTTGCCCAAGTATCAGATGAGACAGAAATATAATACAGCACATACTGTATATTAAACCAAAGGCTAATGTTGCTCCCTCCATGTTTACAGAGACACTTTATGCTGTGTGTCCTGCTAGAGGCAGGAGGCTGTGCATCAAAAGCTATTGGGAATCCAGGACCAGACTGTATATATGTAGATCAGGTCAAAGCCACTATACTTCAACTGGAAGGAATAGATACCAGCATAGAGGAAAGGCTAGATTCTCCTTCCATTCCACCTTTATCTTGTGCTGACTGGTTCCTTCCTGCAACATGTGACAAACTGGAGAGCTCGACCACCTCACCCGTCCTAAGTAAGCTACAAAATACTTCCAAATCAGTAACCACTTCAGCAAGCAAAAGGACCCTGTTTGGTGACTCTTCCTTAACAACACGTAAGCCGAGCCCTACAAGGAACAGTGGAGGACCTGACCACGGTAATGAAGGTCCTGCGGAAGACGAAAGCAGTAATCCACAATCTGTAGTGGATCAGGTCTGAGAACAAAGACAAAGAGATTTGATACGGTTCTGGTGGGCTTGGGGGAGGTGGCAATTCTTTTAAAAACTCTAACTAAAGTAACTTTTAAATAAAGCATACTATATAAAAAAAAAAATCTAAGAGCCCCTGCATTCAGTAGAAAATACTTCTGTTGCCTTGGGAAGCTCTGGGTCAGCCTCACAGCTGACGCTTTTTTATTTTATCATTGCTTCTAAATATTTGTGTATTCACATGACTAAAATGGGCATACCTGCATTCGAATCAGCAGAAATAATTGGAGAACATCCCCAAAATAATAATGATGTAAACATAAGTTATCAGAACAAAATGCTGTACAGTTGTACAACTGCTTCTAATCCGTTTTAGTCTAAAATGGCTATAATACACATTTGTATAAGTTGATGCAACTGTTTGGGCCTTTTAAAAAATGCTACATTATTTCCTTTTAAGTAGGTGATTTGTTGGTTTAATTCTGTTCTTTCATTAGCTGTGTTTTCTCTGTTAGTTCATCTATATGTTTGTTTTTCAGGTCACTAGAAAAAAACATACCCTACCAAATCCATTTCACTTAGGAAACCTGAAAAAGAACCTTTCAGAGAAAGATACAGAACTTCTTAACGCTATCAAGTAAGAAATTGTTTTTTATTCAGCATTTCATTTTTAAGGTCATACTTGGATCATTTTTTTGAATATGCACAGATCACAGAAGTTCTTGCATAATTTTCTTCTAACCAAAACTTTGTTATGCAAGGATTTTCAAAAGCGAAGCTCTTAAATGGAGAGCTTAATTAGAAAAGATGACTGTTTCTCAAGAATATGTTAGTAGAATGTATGCAGATGTCCCACATATATGTCATCTTGGTAGTTCAAATAAAAGAGTTTTTGGACCACACATATACCTTGTGCCTCCCTGGTGTCTCTAGGCAGGTGTACAAAGGACAAAGAAGCCATGATCTTCCCAGTTCCCACTTGTTGCTTGTGACAGCACAGTCTGCTCTGGTGTTTTGCTTGAGATCTCAAGAAAACTTTCCTTCCCTCCCCCTCCCCCCCAAGCTTTTATTTCTCCTTTCTTCTTTCTCTTTTTTTTGTGACAATTTTTGAAAACAGAAGTGCAATACCTAACTAGTTCCATAGTTTTTTGGTTTGGGTTTTTTTTTTGGTGGTGTTTTGTTTTTTTTTTTTTTAAATTGAGTATTAACAGTCCAAGTTAGCAGGATTTCCTTGGTGTAGAAATAGAAGCCTTTTGAATGTCTGTATCCATTTTTGTACTCTATTGTAGTTACCAGAAGAACAATTCTGTCTTGAGAAACAAAAGTATATGGTGTTTAACTGAAATTTCTGTCAAAGTTATTTGAATATTAAATGAATTCTTCTATTTTTTGAAGGTTGACATCTGGTCCTGAGAATACCCTCTTCCACTATCTATCTTTGGAAACGATGCAAGGAATCTTTATTACCCCAACTCACAAAGAAGTAGCACAGCTCGGTGGCTCCATCCACCCTCAGTTAATTGAGAATTTCTATCGTTGCTGTCTTTCAATTCGTTCTATTTTTCAGCAGTCCATGAGGAAAGAAGTATGAAAGCTTTGTTTTCTGTTTTTCTATTTATGTTCTCAACTCAGTATTTCAAGATTGTTTTCACTTCGTTATTTAAATAGTTCACTAGCAGGAGTATTTGCATGTGTGTGGTTGTTTTTAAAGCTCCTGATATTTTTGCTGTTATGGGCAGGTTCTTTCTCTGACCATCCAACCAACTATGCATGCAAATATGGGTCACTCTCCCACCAAAAATGTCCTCAAAATAAATACTCCATGTCTCCAGTATAGTATTTTCTTATTCTGTTTCATATTAGGACTCGTGTTTGTAACTTAGCAAAAAGTTCACACAGTGGATTCAAGAACTGTAAGTAGCAAAAGAGGGGGGTTTTAGCCATTTTAATGCTGGGAGGGGATTTCAGATTGGCAGCAAAAGGAAATTTAGGCCCTCTTTTTTGACAAAAAATGTTTCGTATGAGCAGTGATAGTGTGGTCTCCCCTCACTGTGCTGTCAGGGTGTCTGAAGAGTGACCTGAAGAAGGCCTCTGATGGTGAGAGGGTTTTTCATTCTTAGTGTCTCTGCTCTCTGTGCTACCTAAGATTGCTTATACATTTGCCATCCACTAATGTCTATAACCGTTTGTTCACGTGGATATCTGTCTAGAAGACTGGCTATAATGATCTATTCCTTTTAATTATGCTACCAGCTCTCTTGGATTTTAGATTAGGTGGGATGCCAGAATAGGTAAGGCTTTTTCCCTTTACAAAGATACCAATTTGAGCGTTGCTCTAGACTTGGGCTGAAGCCTGATCCCAGCTGCCAGAGCTTTATGTGGGTACGTAGTATTTAGATTATACACTTAAAAATGGACAGATCGGATGTCAGCAACTGTACTGCCTTGTGTTTGATTAAAAATTTCTGTTTATTCCAAATGATCCATCTGGAGTAAGATGGTAGTAGTAACGCAGAAATCTAGACAATAGGTATAAGAATCAATTTATGAGATACTCCATTCAGATCAGACGTTTTGTGTTCAATGCATGCTTTAGTTTGCTGTAAGTCTGGTTTGTTAATTGCACAGTTGATTTTTATTGACATGAACCAAATTAGGATAACATTTCATCTCCGCTAATTTTGTGACCTGTTTAGTCCTTTTGGAAAAGAGAAATAATTAACTATAAACCTAAGTGGAATACTGTCTATCAGTTGCATTTTTTAGACCCTAAAGTGACGATCCAAGTGAATTAAATGAGAAATGGGAAATAACAGTACAAATTGAATGAACGCAGTCTGCAAAAAGCAGTATAACTTTTCTTAATGTTTCCTTGAAGTTACTGAAAAAGTCACTTCTGGTTAGAGCGATGCGCCTTGTAAATCGTCTAGGAATTTTTAAGTGTTACAAAAATAGGTTAATTTGGATTGTTTTGTCAACTGCATATGACACTGGGGTTTGGCTGAGTAGGACTTTAGCAATGAGCCATGTATTTTGGGCACTTCTGTTGGGAGATGTAGAAACCCAAAAGCAAGTAGAGAGAATACAGAAATATTTCTTATCATCAAATTGCCTTTGGTTACAACTGTTAAACAGACAGTTTATAGTTCAAACCAAAAAAACTGAATACAGAAACCATTCAACCATTAGGTGTAGCTCATAAAAAGTGAAAAACTCACACTTGAAAGTCAAAACTTCTGTTTTGGCCACAGCTACCTCAGCACATGCTTTTCTGGCTTCTTCAGATGCGAATACAGTAGGCAGCAGCTGGGTTCATTCTGCTCTGAAAATCAGAAATAATTGATGAACATGTGCTGCACAACAAAGTTTCTCTTTTAGAGAAATTTGAGGTAGTTTTTGCATGTTGGCTCCAACAATTACTGCTGAAATTGGCAGGTTGCATTATGTCATGAGGAAAACGTAAAAGAACGAATGGAAGTTTTCCTTGTTCATAGTGTATGACAAAAAAGTCAAATACAGAAATGTACTATTATACTGCTTATTCTTTGAAATAAGCTAAATATTGTTATAGTTTAGGATCCAGAGAATTGCACCAAGAATGCAAAATCATCGTAAACTGATCAATAATTAATTTTGCCTCACTTTTTGAGAAATGAAAATTCACAATTTAACTTCTAAATGTGTACAGAATTCTTGAATAAATTTTAAATTGAGCAAAAATAAGCCCTGTAATCTTAAACCCTAATATATATGTCACCGTATGTAATAAGCAGGCTTCATTTTCTTCATCATCATCTTAGTATTTTCTTACTCTTACATAAAATCTGAAGGAAAGAAGTTTTAATGCATATGAAAGTACAGACCCTCATAGTTCTATCAAATATCCCCTCTTAATACATAATTTTTCTTGAGTATTTTCAGTATGAATAGCATAGTAGAAGATGTGCTAAAATATAAACAAATATCAGCTCGGAAATTGCACGATAATGACCCCATTTTTTTGGTGGGGAAGATTATTAGACTGAGTACTAACATATTCCTTAACTCTTTTTCAGTAGCAGTATTAGCAAGAACAGGGTTTGAAACGATTTTACATATTAAGGAAAGATACGGGAAGGGTTAAGTCATCTATTGTGAAATTTCTTCCAGTCTATGAACTAGTAGTAATTTAGAATATGCTTTATGAATTTAATCCAAAGCATGTTTAGGGAAATTTAAAAGACACTTTCTCAGGCAAATATTAGCCGGTTTGCTTCTCAAATGCTAAAGTGCATTTCACTTTTTCTACCATTTTTGAGAAATTAAGATAGTTGTGATGTTTTGACCATATTTTTTCTTCTAGATCTTCAGCTCCCATATCTTCAATATTGCAGGCAGATTGAAAGGTGTGGTTTCTGCTTCTGCATATGGCAGACAGAAGTTCCTTGAGATTTTTTTTTTCAAGAAAACCTTTTCTTTCACCTTTGAAGCAACTGATTGGAGCAGAAGTTTCATTGGCAGATCCAGAGATGCCCTGGCTTAGCAACTCTCTTAAGACAGATTTGTTTCAAAGGGATTTCCACTCCTGTTTCCATAATCTCATCTCACTTCTCATGTTTCAAAAAGAAAAAAAAGATTTAAAGCTTGTTTTTTCATTATTACATACACATTTACAAAAGAGTAATGAACTTGTTTTGACTTCAGTGGGAGAAGCGTTAAACTAGTGACAAACCCTTTCAAAATTCCTCCTGTGTTTATCTCCATGTTCATTCTGGTCTTTTTCCCCTCGCATTTCTGATGAAAGATACCGTGGCTTTATTGGACTCATCGGACTGTTGAGCACCAAGACAGAGCAAAGACAGAAAAGTAGTTCTTGTGCATGCAGTTTGATCCTCACCAAACAGGTACCAAGAGTTCAGTTAGAAACAACTGGAACTTTTGCAAGGTTTATTCAAAAGCTCTGTACAAAACATAGGCCTAAAAACTCAACAAAACACAAAAAGGACTTTATTTTCTGTATATCTTATGCACTCATACTGAGTAAGAGCAAGAAAACACTCTGAGCGAAGTGCTTCAACTGTTTATTTACAAAAAGAAATTCCTGCCTGGCCAAGTTTATTCAACAGACTTTTACTATCACAGTTCTTAATTAGGGAGGCACACAGAGAAAG